AGAAGTTTCAGTATAAAGTTCATCAAGTTTATTTCAAAGATCTTTAGCACATTCCAAAATACCAACTTTTCAAATCACACAGTCAGTCAAGTCCAAGTAAACTGAACAAGCAATTTCATTCATTTCAACTCTTTTCTCTTTAGTGTCTGTTTCTAGATATGAATCACAAACCGCCTTATAAATTTTTAAATGAATAAGAACACACTTCAATTTTTGCTTCCAAATATTAAAATTAGTTTTTCCATTAAATGGAGTCAAAGCATACGGATTCATAATAGATATATCCACACACGAGATAAATAAATAAAAAGCACCACAAAGGAGAAAAAAACCCACAAAAGAGAAAAATCAGCAACACAAAGGCACGTAAATTTGGCCTAAATTTTCCAAATTTGGCTCATGTGTGTGAAGGAGCATCCTATAAATGTCCCATTATGTATTTTGGAGTATAATTTATATGAGCATGCTATATGTACCCAAAATTTGTATCTCATTTGTACACCAAAAGTATGTACCAACATTTTGATAATTTACACTGACACAAAGTGTTGGTGCATTAACAATAAATTTACACTGACACAAAATATTAATGTATTAACAAAAATTAGCATTACATAAACACAATATATTGATGTTTTCCTGCTATGTACAAAATAGGGTACAAATTATTGGAGTACAAATGTCTTATATCCTACTCCCTCCGTCCCATGAAACATGGAACTTTTGCTTTTTAGGAGGGATTTAAGGGGAGTGTATTTTGGTATTGAATTTCCAAAAATGTCCTTTGATGTGATGGGTAAAAGTATGATTTGATGGATAGATTATTAGTAAAAAGGTATGATGTGATAGTTAGGGTATGAAAAAGTAAGGGGTAAAAGTGACTTTTTAATATAAATGAGAAGTGTTTTGTGGGACGGATAAAAAAAGAAAGGAGAAAAGTTTCATGGGACGGAGTGAGTAATTTATACTCCCTCCGTCCCAAAGTATTTGTCTACTTTCATTTTTACACACCATCCAATGCACTTCTTTAATCCATTTTATCTTATAATTTGTATATTAAAAAATTATAGAAATTATATATTAATAATCTATATGTTAAGACAAATCAAACAAGATCACACATGACTATTTTTAGGCTTACACATTGAGAGATTTTGATGAGTCAAAGTGCTTAGATGAACAGTTCTAAAAGTCAAAACTGGACAAAGACAATGGGACGGAGGTAGTAACTAGCATGTTGGCCCGAAATGTGGGGGCATGAAGGGGATGGGACGGGCAATGGGAAAAGGCAGTTTATATTGTGGATTTAGGTTAACTGGACTCGACAAATTATTGACTTGCATGTGACTGCACATGCTTTTCCATGTTCTTCCATCACACAAAGCCATGCATTAATGTTCTTCTACTCTTTCTTGTGGCGGATTCCAGGAGTAGAATTGCCGGGGCTAGATTCCATTAAAAATATCTTGTTTTTTATTCGAGACCTGAGTCTAAAATACGGAGTATTAAATTTGTACAAAGGTTTGTTGATTGAATCTGAAATTGACCGAATTCGAAATGACTCACTAAAAAAGAGTCAAAACTCAACCGAAATCAATCTGGCCGACTCGCTAATGTAAGAGTTTTTTCAAAATCATATATTTCAATATGAAATATAATGTTACGAAAATAAGATTATAACTATACTTTTTTCTTACTACTTGTTTTTAGTATATAAATTTATATTTTCAGACAAAATTTTAATGATATCACTTAATTATCTTATTTTTTCTAATACTTGTTAATATTTAGTTTCTTTATTCGTAATATTGATTTATTTGTCTAAAAGTTAGTTAAAGTTCAAAATAAAATAATATAGTAGATATCACATAATTATCTCATTTTTTGATATTTTATTTTTATTCATTGCAAAATAAAAGTGTTAATATGGATTTAAAATTTTTAAAATAATGGTCATAACCCGTTGGATCGATCCAAACCCGATGATACTTGGTCATTAACATGCAGTTCTCAATCTGAACCCATACTCGAATTGAAGTAACTCAAACTCGAAGTGACCAAATCCGAACTTGACCTGACTGAATTGCCAGCTCTAGTTGGGGCATGTTGGTCCGAGCTCAGTAAAATATTGAGATTCTGATAAAATTATAAACGAAGTGAATAGTTTTATTTTGATTCGTGATTCGTATTCGAAAACAATATATCATATTCACAAAAATGAATACGAATAAGAATACTAATACAAGTTTAGTACTCATTAGGATTCAAAATTAAAACAAATGGAGATATGAATAAGTGTATTTAAAATTTGATTCGATACCTTGACAAATATATTCAAATTTAATATACAAATCAAAACATAAATATATTCGTATTGGCAAATTCTTAAATAGACCTAAGATCCATAGCATCTATGGCGGGTCTTCATATGTACTAAATACTTCGTAAGTTTTTCTTAAGTGTGGGGATAAATATTTTAAAAAAATAAAAAAAATTGTGAGGGAGTCTATGTGGACTTTAGAACCACCATAGGAACTCTCATTCTTTTGTACACAATAACTTATTTTTAATATGAAGGCTTTATACATATTCAATAATTTTCTCATATTGTTAAAATCTAATTAAGGCCAAGGCCGTATGTTATCATGCGTGAGGGAGGGCGTCACTATATCCCTCACGCCTCCTTCACGACGTTATATGGCGCCAGAGGTTCAGTGAAGGGGTGCATGTGGCCTCTTTTTCTGTGATGGCCATTCCATGCGTTGCCCTTCCACCCTTCTTTTATTTAAAATTCTGAACCATTAAAAGTTAACACACAATTATAGCTTATCACATTCAATCATGTTACACTTGCACCAAAAAATGTACTCTAAAGTTACACCAAATATATACACTAATATTTTGATGGTTTACACGCACTGACACAAAATGTTTGTGCAATAACAAAAATTTGCACTAATATTTTGTGTCTGTGTGAACTATCACCCTAACATTACACTGACACATAATGAAGGTAAATACCTGCAGTGTACAAACAGAGATACAAATCTTGGAATACAAATAGCTAAATTCTATCACATTCTAAACACACATGGTCTAAGCTGCAAAAATAAATGTCTTAGTGTCTAATGATGGCTCATCGTGCTTCTAACTTCTAAGTAGATTATACGGAGTAGTAACAAACTGTTATACTCCGGAGTATAAATTTGTGGTCTAATATTGATTAAATTGATTGATTTTTATACAATTTCCGATTCTCTTTTTATTAAAAAAGGATAAACCCTGTCTCTGAAAGCTCCTCAGACCCGGTTGCACGGTCACTAAGAGGGGATAAATTGGACTTTAATTGCAGATTGGTAGCAAAGAGTGTAGCCTGCACCTGGTACTTGAAGCCTTAGCATAGTTACCTCCAAGAAAAACGGTCACTTTGTAATATTGATTCATAAAGGAATATTCAAGAACCACACCCACTAAAGCACTAAATACATCCGTCAACTAAATACACCCCAGATATATTATTATGTTATTATTCAAAAAAGTTAAATATATAACTTTATTATATTAAAATACATTGTAAAAAATGTTTTAAATTATTCATCATTTATTTCATTTTATTACTTTTCAAATAAAATGTAATAATATATATTTTAGTTTTAGTTTTAATTATAAAAATTTGGCGCCTCTTCTTTTAACTTTTCATAAATTAAAATAACATTTATTATTAATAAATTGAATGACCATTGATTTTGTATAAAATCTTCTATTATCTAAGTATTATACCAATATGTATTTCACCATTTTTTTAATCTACATAATTATTTTATTATTTTAAAAAGATGTTTATATAAATTTTACTTAAAAAAATTATACGCATAATATTCCTTAAAATTATTCACCATCGTTCTCTTTTATTTATTTTCAAGAGCAAAAATCTATATAAATGTTAATAAATGTGAACTATTATTAAAACTACAACTTTTATTTTAAAAAGATATCATATTCAATATATAAAATATACTCTGTATTTCGTAGAATAAAAACAAATTATTATTAAACTATTACTCCTTCCGTCCTAAAATGTTCTTCCCACTTACTTTTCATACGGTCAAACTTTAATCACTTTCTTTATCTATTTTTATTCGATATTTGATAAAATAATATAGTCTTGTCACCACTTGTTTTCTAGAACTTTTGATGTAGTTTTTAAATATATAAATTTATTTTTAAATTTTACACCTACAATCAAATAAATTGAATTGAAAATAAAGTCAGTCAAACCCCGGAAACAGAACCGGAAAGAACATTATAGGACGAAGGGAGTATTATATTACGGAGTATGATTCAAACTAGAACTTTTATCAAACTCTTAAAATTGCAAAATTTTGTATATGAGTTCATGGATTTAAAAATATTTTTTTAATAAATATTAAAAATAATTTTGAAACTAATGACGTGAATTTAGTGTGTGGAGTGAAGTTAGTGTTTGGATGATGTGTCACTATCACCATCCAAATAAAATTACAACCCATAAAGGTTCACACCCAATACCAAACTAAAGATAAAGACTTCTAAAAGAAATGTGCTATGGAGTAATGGTCAAATAGCACCAGTACCTCTCGTGGTTTGAAAATAGTCACCAATACCCTCATATTTTCAAAACTCATTCCTAAGGTTTCTGATGTTTCAAAACATTGCACCGATACCTCTCTGCTCATTTTCTGGCAATTTTTCTAGCAAAAAAGGGGGTATTGGTGCGTGTTTTCAAGGCATTTTGTTAAGGATAAATAAATAATCTTTATTATTTATTTATTATCTCAATTAAGGATACTAAATATCTATTATATTCATTACATTATTTGTAACTCCTCATATTATTCCCCATATCACTCCTTCCATATATGTATTGTAACTCCCTAATCTTTAGGCTAACCTTATGGCTTATGATTACTTCTCCTAATTGTAACTACTATAAAGTGTAATACCTTTTGTCAATAATATAATTCAATCATTCCTTCATATGGTATCAGAGCAGTAAAGGGCTTCTTTCTCCTTTACGATCCATTCACGGCTTCCCTTGCCTCTCTTTTATTTTTTCTTCTTCTCGACATATGTCGACCGCAATCACCATGGCACAGACGCCTTCAATTACCAAAGATACACCGGTTGTGCAATTGCATGCCAAATCCCATTTTCCCATAAAATTGATCTCCACCAACTTTCTCATTTGGCAGCGCCAAGTTCGGTCCACACTCATTGGACTCGATCTACTTGGCTACCTCGATGGCACCATGGCTGCCCCACCGCAACTGGTCAACAACGCGCCAAATCCTTGTTACTCAATTTGGTTCCGACAGGATCAAGCTATCGTTGGGGCTCTTCTGGGCAGCTGTGCTGATGTCGTACAGCCGCTGATCTCCACTGCTGAGACAGCCCATGCCGCGTGGCAGAATCTCCATTCATCCTTTGCCAGTACCAGTCGGGGACGGATTGTCTTTCTCAAGTCCAAATTGGGAAAAAACCCACGCGGTAATCGCTCAATTACTGATTATCTCCATGATATGCGCACCATTGCCGATGAACTTGCTCTTGTTCAAAGTCCGATTTCAGAAGAAGATCTTGTTGTTCACGTGTTGAACCAAGTTGGGCCCGACTATGATCCCATTTCCTCTGCGGCTCTCCTTCGTCCCTCGGCCATTTCATTCACCGAGTTGGGTGATATCTTGAAGAATCATGAAGCTAAACTTCAATCATCAAACGACGCCGATACTGTGATGATGGCCACGGCGAACCTCACTCTTCAACATGGTGGTTCGGGGCGTTCTAGTCAGGGCCAACGTGATGCACATTCCGGCCAGTCCACCAATAACAATAACAAGCGTGGTCGTGGGCAGTCCCTGAGCAATTATTCCACAGGCAATCATCGATCATCAGCGAGGCAGTCAAACTCGTGCCAATTTTGTGCTATCCCGGGCCATGATGTGAAGGACTGTCGCAAATTGGCTCGGTTTCTCCGCACACATGGCATCGGACAAACGCATGCAATCAACGCTACAATGATTACCTCTCGGCCTAGTGGATCCTACACGGGTGCGGCCCCTCAGTGGCTATTTGACAGTGGAGCCAGTCATCATACTACGCCCACGACTCAAGCCCTTCATTCGTTCTCAGACTACGGGAGTCCTGATGAGATCCGCTTGGGCAATGGTAATAGTCTCCAAATTACTCACACTGGTCACACATCTATTCCAACTTCCTCTCGTAAATTGTCTTTGAATAATGTCTTATGTGTTCCTTCTCTTAATCGTAACTTAGTGTCAGTTTCCCAACTCTGCCAATCTAATCAGGTTTCTGTTGAATTTTTCCCCTTTTCCTTTTCTGTCAAGGATCTGAAAACGGGGGCGAAACTTCTCAGCGGCACCAATCATGACGGCGTGTACTATGCACGGCCTGCGGTACCATCCCCTCAGGTGCATTTCCATGGTGGTGGTTCCCTGTCTGAGCTTCATCATAGTTTGGGTCACCCATCTAATAAAGTTCTCTCTTCTTTGTTACGTAGCTGCAATACAACTTTTCCGTTTACTGATGTACAACGGTTTCATTGTACGGCATGTTCTATCAATAAAAGTCATAAACTTCCATTTCATGACAATTCCCTTGTTAGCAAAGCTCCGCTCGAATTACTTTATTCTGATGTTTGGTCATGCAAACAACGTTCTATTGATGGTTATCTGCATTATGTGTTGTTTGTTGATCATTTTACCAAATATGTCTGGCTCTATCCACTTGCCCATAAAACGTGTCAAAAATTTTTCCTCAATTTAAAAAACTTGTGGAAACATTTTTTTCGCGTAAAATCATAACAATATTTTCTGATAATGGGGGAGAATTCATTAAGTTACGTCCTCTACTTACCTCCTTTGGTATATCTCACTTCACCACACCTCCTCACACTCCGGAGCATAATGGCTCTGCTGAGAGGCGTCACCGTCACATTGTAGAAACTGGTCTTTCACTTCTTCATCATGCTAATATGCCACTCTCTTACTGGTCACATGCTTTCCAAACCGCGGTGTATCTAATCAATCGCTTGGCTACGCCTCTTTTAGGATCTCGATGTCCATATCGTGCTCTTTTTGGGGCCGAACCAAACTACCAAAAATTAAAGCCTTTTGGCTGTTTGTGTTTTCCTTGGCTTCGTCCATACATGTCTCATAAGTTACAACCTCGATCAACTCCGTGTGTGTTTCTTGGTTATTCTACTACACAGTCTGCATACAAATGCCTCGAATTGTCATCTAATCGTTTATTCCTCTCTCGCCATGTGCAATTTATTTCACATATATTTCCTCTCTCAAATTCTGTGTCATCTCCCCCTCACTCCTCAACCCCAACGCCATATCCGCTCTTTCCTCCACAATTTGCCACGCCATCTCCTTCTACCTCTTCCACTCCACCCCCTGTCACTACCCCTCCCCAAACAACCATGACCTCCGTTCCAGTAACTTCCTCGTCTCCAGATCCAACCCTACTGGCCCAGACTGCGGCCAGTCCTGAACAACCCTCACCTACTACCACGATTATCCCTATCCGCTCCACCCGCCCACGTCGTCCTAACTCTCGCTACTTTAATCCTGATTTTGTCTCCTCTTCGAGTCTCAATGTCACCACCAAGCATCCCCTTCCTCTTTCTCATGAACCTAAGACCATTGCTCAAGCTCTCAAAGACACTCGTTGGAGGAAAGCAATGGATGAGGAGTATCACGCCTTGCTTAAAAATCAGACATGGGAATTAGTGCCTCGTCCTGCCACTCGTCCCATTGGATGTAAGTGGATATTCCGGGTCAAACGGAAGGCGGACGACTCAATTGATCGGTACAAAGCGCGTCTTGTAGCTAAGGGATATCTCCAAGAAGCAGGGCGTGATTATTTTGAAACTTTTAGCCCTGTTATGAAGCTGGTTACTATTCGTGTTGTTCTCAGTATTGCTCTCTCAAATAATTGGCCCCTTCGACAGTTGGACATCAACAATGCTTTCTTAAATGGAAAACTTGCGGAAGAGGTCTTCATGGAACAACCTCCGGGATTCGTTACTCCAGACCAACCCACTCATGTGTGCCGGTTAACAAAGGCATTATATGGTCTCAAACAAGCACCGCGGGCTTGGTATGAGGCGTTGTCTCGGTTTTTAATCAAATCAGGCTTCCAGAAGACTCATTCTGACTCGTCCCTCTTTGTTTATTATTCTGGCGGTGCAATTGCGTATTTTCTGGTTTATGTGGATGACATTATTCTCACAGGCAATGACAAAATTTTTCTTGATGGCTTTGTTCATGCCTTATCTGCTGAATTCTCTCTCAAGGATTTGGGACAGTTGAGTCATTTTTTGGGAGTTGAGGTCATCCCAACTCCAGCAGGCCTGTTTCTTTCTCAGTCTCAATACATTTTGGATATTCTTGAGGATACCTCTATGACTGGTGCTAAAGATGTTGCCACTCCGATGGTAGCGGAGGACTTACGTCTCACTCCTTCGTCCTCCACAGTGGTGGATGCAACGGCCTACCGGCGTGTCATAGGAAGGATGCAATATCTTTCTCTCACACGACCAGATGTTGCATTTGCCGTGAACAAGTTGTCTCAAGTTATGCATGCTCCTACTCAAGTTCATTGGTCGGCCCTACGACCCCTTTTGCGGTATCTCAAGGGTACTATTTTTCATGGCTTATTTCTGTCCAAAAATGTTCCTATGCAATTAACTGCCTTCTCCGATGCTGATTGGGGTGGCCTCTCTGATCATGGCCGTTCCACGACAGCATATGTTCTCTATCTGGGTCCAAATATCATCTCGTGGAAATCTATTCGCCAGAAAAGTGTCTCGCGCTCATCCACAGAAGCTGAATATCGTGCACTTGCTAATGCTGTTGCCGAATTACAATGGGTGCAAAATCTTCTGACAGAACTTCGACAACCACACTCGGTGCCACCTCATATATTTTGTGACAACATCAGTGCTATTCATGTGTGCAAAAATCCAGTTTTTCATTCTCGTATGAAGCATCTTGCCCTTGATTATTTTTTTGTCCGAGAACTGGTGGCAGATAAAAGACTTTGGGTGTCTCATGTACGCACTACTGAACAACTGGCAGATATTCTCACCAAGCCCCTTGCTCGGGCCTTGTTTGCAAAGTTTCGGTCCAAGATTGGCGTATCTGACGGATCCTCCATCTTGCGGGGGCGTGTTAAGGATAAATAAATAATCTTTATTATTTATTTATTATCTCAATTAAGGATACTAAATATCTATTATATTCATTACATTATTTGTAACTCCTCATATTATTCCCCATATCACTCCTTCCATATATGTATTGTAACTCCCTAATCTTTAGGCTAACCTTATGGCTTATGATTACTTCTCCTAATTGTAACTACTATAAAGTGTAATACCTTTTGTCAATAATATAATTCAATCATTCCTTCATACATGTGAGGCAATGATGCTCATTTTTTATTTTTTGTTTATTTCTTGTATTTCTCCTTTTTTCTTTTATTATTTCTTTTATTAATCATATTTTTCTAAATTTCTCTTTAAACTTTTTTATAATGTTCTTAAAGCATAAAAATTGTTTTTGTTTGAAAAAAGTAACATACGAGTATATTACTATATTGCTTATGTACATATCAAATTAATAGTTTTTATTTTTTGTTATTCAAAATAAAAAAGTATTTTTTAAAAACTTCAAAAAATGAAGCATAAAATAAGAAATAAAACAAAACAAAAAATAAAAATGAATATCCTTTTTGGATATCCCAATTTTAAAGATTTTTTAGATGTTCTATTGAACTTACCAAAAAAATCCTAAAAAAAGGAAAATTAAATGTTTAATTTGAGATAGATTGAGTATATGAATTTATTTTTATTTTTATTTCAAACACAAAGAATTTTAAATTTTTAAAACATTATAAAAATTGAAAAGAAATTTAAAAAAAATTTCTAGGAAAAGGAAACAAATAGATAAAAAAGCGTAAAAAAAGAGAAAAATCAAACAGTAAACAAAAGTCACCCTAAATAGGACTAAAACATAGAAAAAGTACCAAAATAAGAATTCCATGTTTTTATTCTCGAAATCGTAGTTCGACATGTGATAATTTGGCACTGTATCTGAAACAAAAAAATAAGAAATGAGCATGCAATGATTGCCCATATGGTTTAGAAAATAGGCACCAATGTCCCATCTTCGCTAGAAAATGACCAAAAAATGATCAGAGGGGTGTGTGTGCAATGTTTTGAAACAATGAGAACTTTAGAAATAAGTTTTAAAAACTGAGAGGATACTGATATCGATTTTTCAAACGACATGGGACAGTTGGCCATGGGGAAATAGTTTGACATCTTGCATATCTCACTGTGCCTAACATGCTTCCCAAAAACAAAACAGAAACCAAGCACTTGATTCTAAAGATGGTTTGTTGAATTCAATTGATTACTTAACACATGTGAACAGTAGATAATTTGGAATATAATTGATTGGTGACTTGCAATTGGACATTTGGACTCATGCCCTTCCTGAAATGAATATTTATAAGAGACCACGTTGAATTTGGATTTCTTACGAACAACTTAAATTAGGGAGTGTATTAAAGACTCACCAATGCACTAGTAAAAACTTTTAAACGGATTCATTGATAAATAAGGTGGGCCAAACTCTATAGTGGTGATACAAAGTGTTTTTTATACCGACCTATGATGTCTTCTTCTAACTTCTGGCTCTCATTGAATTCTGTTTGATATAGCTTGTCTCCCACATGCAACGTAGGACCATCTCCTATATAATACTGCCTATTACGTAGTAGTACTACTATTTCCATGAAGACATTATTTAATCTCAACTAAAAAATGGGTTGAGAAAGGAACTGTTTGCCCCTTTAATCGTCCGTGATAAGATACGGAGTAGTACACACTGAAAGGATCATGTTTGATGCTCCTTCTTGACCAAAAACAATTTCCTAGCCTGTTTGAGAAATATTAGTCACAAAGACAAGTATCACAAAATACAAAAATGAAAGTTTTTTTCTTTTTAATTATTTAATTATAATCATTTTGTTCTCTGAGTGGAGTGTACAAATAATAAAATTATATACTTTATGCCTTTGGATTTGTGACTCTTGCATTTCTTTTCATGTTACGTGTTAGGATGGTCTAGTTCCTAATAATTTGTAGGACCTAGGCCAAATGAAAAAAAAGTATTTAGATAAAATTTTACTTTCTGATAAGTATTTTTTGGATAATATAGTACACAAAACTAGCCTAACAATTTAGAAAAAATGAGTAATATCAACTGATAAAATAATATGTCAAGCTTATTCACATTCTTCACATTGGAGATGTAGTCGTGCAGAGAAAAATACAATGAAAACTAGTTTTACTGAAACATACAAATTAGATTGTGGAGAAGATATGAAAAAGCATTCTTGCCTCGAGTTAGACCTACTCTACCTACTCTTGTAGTTTTTCAACCATAGAGTTATTTGCCAAACACGTGAATTAATTTTTCATTCATGTGGGGGATTGTTGGAATTTTGACTCATAACAGGACAACTTTGGACATAAATTTGTTAGGGTTCACAAAATTATTTCTCAAAATTAATTATGGACAAATATTATTCCAAGTGAGATGAGTATTTCAATATATAGTGCGCGCGATGCGTCGTGACGTGGCAAGGGCGTGGGCCGAATCCTTATCTTTTTACGAGACCAAATCGAACACGTGTAAACACTTTGTTAAGAACGAAGTAGAAAGATATCCATGCATGCACTTACGAAGAGTCACTTGACTCCTCGTGTTGTTCGCCTAGTCCGTCCAAACGCCCAATCTACTCCGATATAAGAAGGTCCTTTTGCTGCAGAGATAATCACCAAAAATTGGAAAAAGTTCTTTGCGTTCCAACTCTATGGTCTCTCTCTCTCTCACTGTTTTTGAATAAGTACTCTATCCTCGTTCCAGTTTTTTATTCTATTCTTCACTTCGTTACAATTAATCTGAAGGATCTCAATGGAAAGAAGCCATAAAAAGTGAAGTTGATTCTATTCTTCAGAGTTACACGTGGGAATCGGTTGACCTTCCTCCAAGCTGCAAGCCATTAGGTTCTAAATGGGTCTTTTGGAGGAAAATAAAGCTTGACGGCTCCATTGACAAGTATAAAGCTAGACTTGTGATCAAAGGTTATAGCCAACGTGAGGGCTATGACTACTGTGATACTTACGCGCGCCTGTGACGAGGATAGATTCTAACAGGATGATCATCGCATTTACATCCTTACGAAACTTTCTAACTGACGAGTTAGATGAAGAAATGTATATGGAACAAACTGAGGGGTTTAAGGTTCCGGGCCAAGAAAAGAAGGTCTGCAAACTCATGAAATCATTATACAGTCTTAAACAAGCACCAAAACAATGGCATGATAAGTTTGACCAGGTAATGATGAACAATGGTTTTAAGATAAACGAGTCAAATAAGTGCGTGTACTAGCTTTAAGGACACATATGAAGGATATGTCATTCTATGTCTGTATGTAGACGACATACTCGTTGTTGGAAGTAATGACATGATGGTTAAGTCCACCAAGGACATGTTAAACGTACGATTAGATATAAAAGATTTGGGTCTGGCTGATGTGATTCTCGGAATCAAAATAATAAGAAGACTAGACGGTCTGAGCTTGAGTCAATCCCATTAGATTGACAAAATCGTTGAAAAATTCAACAAGGACGATACCAAAGTGGCTAAAACAGCGATAGACGTGAATGTTCCCCAGGGTAAATACCGAGGGAATAGCGATTCTCAATCTGAATCATAGAGAAAAATACCAAAATATGAGTTTCATATTTTTATTCTCTAAATAAGAGTTAGTACTTGTTGGCTAATTATCGAGTAGGATTAGGATTATCCGAGATATTCTAACTTGAGTACAATGTTTTGAAAATCGGGCCGGACGTCGACCCGGACGAGGTAGTGGGTCAAGGGTTGACCGGTTGAACCGGTCTAACCGAAGGTCAACGACCCGGTCAACTATGTTTATAATAATAATATTTTATAATATATTAGATATTTTTAGTCAATAAAATATTTTAATTTATGTTATTATTTCTTCATCTATTTTTTTAATATCCTTGTACATATGTTATTTCACACCTTCTATTTTTATTTTATTATTTTTATTATTATCAAAAGTTAATATTTAATCCCTAACAAATACTTAAATAATAAGGGGATACTCATATTTTCAAAAATTAAAGACCATATATTTTATTCTTATATACATATGACATTTTAAATTTAATATTTAGTTGATTAAAATGATTGAAAAATAAAAAGTATAGCATATTAAATTATAATTAATAAATATTACTTGATTTTTAAAAACAACAATTTTTAATTATAAAATATACATAGTATATTTTTTTGAAATAAAAATTAAATAATTCTCAATTTTTAAAACTATTTTAAAAGTTCATAAATACAAATTCACACTTGCACAAAAAAACTATATATTTATTTTGTATGAACCTTTTGTAAAACCATAAATAAATATGATTGATACCTAGACTTTGAAGAAGGATTGAGTAGCTCACTTGGTTGATAACTTGCACTAGTATACGGGAGGTGTTGGGTTCGATTCCCATCCAGTGCTTTCAATTTTTTATGTGGGAAAATTTAATAAAATACTCCGTATCATTGGTACTAAAAATGAAGAACAAAGTAGAATAATTACATTACGAAACTGCTAGAAATAAAAGTAAAACATATAGAAAGTACCAAAATATGAGTTTCATGGTTTTTTTCTAAATAGAAGTTTACACTGTGGTAATGTGGCATTGTACATGTGCAATTTATTATAGTTTTAGAGGTGTTGGGTTCGATTCCCATCCAGTGCTTTCAATTTTTTATGTGGAAAAATTTAATAAAATACTCCGTATCATTGGTGATGGGTGTATTTCACCCAAGACCGGTCAAAGGTTAGGACCGGATAGTTGACCGGTCAAAGAGGTCAAACTCAGGAGAGAGATCTGAATCGTTGGCAGATGGACGACTGGTTGACCAAGAAGTTGACCGGTACACTTCGGATAGTATACCGGTCGGTTTACTCCATCGTCAGGAACCAATTCCGAAGTCGATTATTCCAACCTTCAGTAATCAACCGGTGCAGCTTTTAGAGATTGAGGATTGTCGGCAGGAGGAATCCAAAAAGGACTTGGACTGTAGTGGTTGGAATTGCAGAGATGCCGAAGGAACATTTCCAAGCCAGAACACGACAAGGGCGCAACCCCCCCCCCCCCCTCGCAAGATGACAAGGCAGCTCAGAGCCAGTCACCTCACACCACGCCAGCAGCATGCCCCCACGTGGGCGCACGTGGTCCTGCCCCCCTAGCCTAGTATATATACCTCTTGTAACCCTCGAAGAAGGGGATCCGAATTCACTCTCTCTAAACTCCCTTGTAAAAGTGACCGTGCATTCCCTGTTTAAATACAATTCGGGCTACAGGTGTTCCACCTAAAGTCCTACCGGTCATTTTGGGTGTTTCTACCTTCTTTACTTTACTGAATCAAGCCAACTGTTATAGACCCGGTCTAGTATAGTTTGACCGGTCAAGTAATTTACACCATCATTTTTGGCGCCACCCGTGGGACCGTTAAGGTTTCCTCTCTTCTAAATACAAACCTACCCACAAAAACACCACTCAAAATGTCTTCCAGCCAGCAAATCAACGTTACTTCTGCTTAGGTGCAAGCCACCACTGAAGGTACCAGCATCCCCATGGTTGCTACCCTGCCAGCCGTTTCAACTCTGGTTTTGCCGTTGGGACTAAGCTCGGTCCCAACACCCAGCATGGTCAGCCCATTCACGGCCCCCGTCCCTTCCGCTGGGCCAAGGGTCACTTTCCCACCAAGCATGACACAGTTCATGAATGACCCAGCCAACCTGCAGGCCATCCAAGGCTTTGGCCAGATCATGTCCATGTGCCAACAGAATGGGTGAATGCCTTTCCTCCCAGGCATGTTTCCATTCGCCCTTCCAGGTGCTGGAACGATGCCCCTTCAAGCTCCGATGGCAGTGACGCCATTCCAGACGCCGGTGCCGCAACCATCACCTTTCCAGCCGCAGCTGGTCAGCACCATGGCACCAGTCAACTTGACTGGTGCGCTCAACGCCGCAGGGCCATCGCGTCCCCCGCAAGGTACGAATCCGTTAATCACTCCGGATGGACACTGCGTCTCGGTTGAAAGCGGAGACGACGAGTGGGACATTCCGAGGGCCCACAAGAAGAAGAAGGGAAAAACCATCCGACCCGCCACCTCCCGAAACTCCACCTTCGAAAGGCTGGGGGATAGGGAGGAGGGCCAGAGAAAATCAGCCAAGCTAAGGTTGGGGCAAAGCGTTGCCCATGTCAGCGCTTTCGCCCGGTTAGGCGAGATGAGGGAGGCCGAGCCTGCCCGCACCCAACGCTCCCGGTCAAACTGGCAAGAGCCAGCCAGGACGAGGGCCTCTCGCCAGGAGGAAGAGGCAGAAAGCCAACCCAGGGTACCGGTGGCGAACCGGTTAACCACCCCCAATGATCGCGTCCAACAGATGGAGGCAAAGCTGGAGAGGCTGGAGAAGAAGGTTGGAGAGAAGAATGACCGGGACAAACCCCTCGCAGGGTCCCCGTTCACTACAAGGGTCCATCTGACACCTTTCCCACGAAAGGTCAAGATAGACGCCCCAAGGTTTACCGGTAAAGAGGATCCAGAAATACATCTGGATTCTTTCAACCAAAGTGCAACTATGAATGGTTGTACGGATGAAGAAAAGTGCCTCCTTTTCTTCCAAACCCTGCGGAATCGAGCTACTGAATGGTTCAACAAACTTCGCCCAGGAAGTATTGATTCATTCAGTGACTTGGCCTCAAAATTTAAGGCCAAGTTCCAGGAAAACTGTAATAAGAGGAAGAAATTCACCTATCTTAGTACAGCCGGGCAGAGGGAATCTGAGAACCTCACTCAGTTCCTTACCCGGTGGAAGGAGGAGGTAGACAAGGTTGAGGAGATGGACGACAAGACGGTGTTGTCCCTCCTCCTGAGCGGCTTGCGTGCTGGGGAACTTTACAAGGAGTTCTGCTGGAAACCCCCGGCCACGTACCAGGAAGCCTACCATACTGCGTGGGAGTTTGCCGAGGCTGAAACTCAACTCCGGGCGAAGAAGGAAGCCGAGCATGGTTACAAGCCCAAGCCGGTGCAAGTCAAGAAGGAAGAAGTGCCGGTACCCAGCCGGCCGAGGCATCACTATGACCCGGTCATCCGCGTGGTCAACACAGAGGGGTGCCAAGAAGTAAGAAAAGCACCGGTCATTCCTCCGGAAATTCCTACCGGTCAAACTGGGCGCTAGTGGTCGGGCACCTATTGTTCGTACCACAGGTCAGATTCCCATAGCACTTCCGAATGCAAGAGTGTTAAGGGGGTAATCCGGCAGATGATAGACAGCGGAGAACTGGGCAAGGATTATCTGCAGAAAGCCCAGGAGAAGAACCATCAATGGGTAAGGCCAGCGACCCAGGGAAATGACCGGGACAATGACCGGCGGAGGAACAACCGGCAAAGGGAGCAACAACCAGCCCCTGATAAAGAACATATTGGGATGATCTTTGGCGGACC